ACCCCCGACACACACACACACACACACAAAGACTCGACAGACACACACACACATACACAAAGATTCACCAGACACAGACAGACACGCCAGACACACACACACACACACACACATACGCACACACACACACAGAGCACCCCTGACACACACAGAGCACCCCTGACACACACACACACACACACAAAGACTCGACAGACACACACACACATACACAAAGATTCACCAGACACAGACAGACACGCCAGACATACACACACACACACACACACACACACACACACAGGCATATACATGCCAGACAGACAGACGCACAGACTCAAAGACATGCACACACAGACACACACACATGCAAAGACTCACCAGACACATGGACAGACACACGCCAGACAGACACACAGACACAGACACGCACAGACACACACACAGGCGCGGGTATATACACACCAGACAGATGTACGTACAGACAGAGATACAAGCATAGACACAGAGCACACACACGTTCCAGACACGCCAGCCAGACGCACAGACACACATACAGACAGATACACAGACATGCACATAGACACACACAGGTACATGCATAGACACGGATACACACATGGACAAACACATGTGCCAGACAGGTGCAGACACAGACACACATACACAGAGAGAGATACACAGATAGACAAGCGCGCGCGCACACACACACGCGCACACACACACACACACACACACACCCCCGGTTTCTGCCGGGCGCTGGAAGCTCGGGTCCCTGGCGGGGCTCTCAGCCGTCAGCCGGCTTCTCTCATTGCACCTCATTTGCATCTGGGACATCAATTAGCATGTTTGTGGAGGCTAATTGAATGAAACTCAATCATAGCTCTTAATTGCTTGCCTATGTGAAAAGAAATCACATTAATGCAGCTAATTAAGTGTACGGCAATAGATGCAACATAATTAGGCGCGCCGCGTAAGAAACAAGGGACGGCGGAGGTGGCCGGGACGCCGCACTTCCGGGACCAGGGTGCGCCCCAGCGCCCGGCGGAACCAGAGGGGAGCAGAGACTCTAGCCCACAGGACGGCCTGGACAGCTCAGAAGAAAAATGCAAATAGCGTTGCAATTACTACTTTTTCAAGCTGTTGAGGGCAGGAGATGGGCCCTCTGGGGGGCTGGGCTCTTGAGTGGACCCCGGGGACTTGTTAAGTGCTGTTTAAAAGTACTTGGTTTTGAATTACCCTCATGCCTTGTTAAAGGGCCTTCTCCCCTTTTATCTTCCATCAGCATTTTCTTCCGAACACGGGGCAGGCGGGTAGTGGAGCATTTGCATATCAAACTCCAGCAGGCTGTCACCTGCACCCACCCGGGCCGTGGGCCGTGCCAGCCACATGCTCCGCCACTAGGCCCTCGTTCTGCTCCCTCCAGCGCCCCCGCAGCGCCACAAGAGGAGAAGGGCGAGAAAAGAAGGAGGCGGCCTGTCGGCGTGGGGCGGGGGGAAAGAGTCGCCACAGGCTCCCCGACCCACTCCTAGGGGTCTCACCGGCAGTGCTCAGGGCTTATTCCCGGCTCAGTGCTCGGGGTTCCCGCCTAGTGGCACTCGGGGACCCTCTACGGTGCCAGGGAGCGAACCTGGGTGGGCCGCATGCGTGACAAGCGCCTGCCCACTGTGCTCTCTCTGGCCCCCAACGTCCACCCCCTTTGGGAAACGTCATTGGAAAGACGAGGAAATGCCTTTTTGTCAAGTTGGTTAAAAATGGCAGTGGCCAACCCGGGGCAGTGCCTGGTGGTTAGGCAGACTTGGTTGTGTGTGTGTGTGTGTGTGTGTGTGTGTCTGTACATATATCACGATGATCATGACCATCTTGTTGTTCATTGATTGCCTCGAGCAGGCCCCAGTAACGTCTCCTTCATCCTAGCCCTGAGATTATATTCAAGGCTCTTTAGGAGAATGAGACCCATCCTTGTTACTGGTATTTGGCATATTGGGGACGCCACGGGGAGTTTGCCAGACTCTGCCGTGTGGGCAGGCTATGTTCGGTAGCCTGCCAGGTTGTCCAAAGCAAGAATGAGGTAATAAGATATATATACATATATATACATACATACACACACATATGTATATATATATATATATATATATATACACACTAGGGCTGGAGCAATAGCACAGCGGTAGGGCATTTGCCTTGCGCACAACCTGCTCGACTAAGCTGGATTCGATTCCTCTGCCCCTCTCAGAGGGCCCAGCAAGCTGCCGAGAGTCTCTCGCCCACACAGCAAAGCCTGGCAAGCTCCCCGTGACGTATTCGATATGCCAAACACAGTAACAACAAGTCTCAAAATGGAGACGTTACTGGGCCCACTTGAGCAAATTAATGAACAATGGGAGGACAGTGACAGATACATACATACGTGTGTGTGTGTGTGTTTGTGTGTGTGTGTATATATATATATATATATATATACACACATATATATATCACACCCAGCAATGCACAGGGGTTATTCCTGGCTCATGCACTCAGGAATCACTCCTGGCAGTGCTCAGGGGACCATATGGGATGCTGGGAATCGAACCCGGGTCGGCCGCGTGCAAGGCCAACGCCCTCCCCGCTGTGCTATCGCTCCAGCCCCCAGTTTTGTTTGTTTCTAGAAGAGCTTGTGGCTCTGTGCTTCCCCGTCCCACTCCAGCCAGAAGGCAGTGCCCAGGCCGGGCCCGAGCTGGACGGGCTCCCTTGCCGTCTCCAGAGCCGGAGAGCGGACGCCCCGTACATCCCTATAATCATTTTAAATAAAATATCCTGGTTATTGTATGTTAAAACAGGCCTGTTCCAGAGGCGCATGCTGAGGCCCCGTCACTGATTAGCCTCATTTCAGAGCCCATAAGCGATAAATGCTCAATTACACTCCTGCTATTGTATTTTAATTCGTTAAGAATTGGCACCAAGGAAGAAAGTTCTAGCAAGTTGGTATTTCTAAAGGAGTAAACTGTGCAAGAAGGAATTCATTACACAGCGGCCTGCGCTCGGGCCCGAGACCTTCCCCTCCCGCTCGCTCACTCTCTTCCCTCCTTCCTTTTCTTTTCATCTTTAGAACTTTTTCCCCCCTTTTTGCTTCTAGAACTTGTTTCTGCCTTCATGTTTGGCTTCGAGGACTTTCTTTCCCTTATTCTTTCCTTTGTCCTTTTCCTCTCTTTTCTTTCTTCCCTTTTTGCTCTGGAACTCTTTTCGCTTCAAGAAGTTTTCTTTCTCATTTTCACCTTTTCTCCCTTCCTTCCGGAACTTTCTCGGGTCATTTCTCCGCCGAGGCTGCAGGCTGCGCCCCAACTCTTCCTTGCACCCCCTGCCCTAGGCTGTCGTCCAAACCTCAGCTCCCTTGCTGAAGCCAAATACCAAAACTACCGCCAAGATTCTGCTCAAGGGGCTGGAGCAATAGCACAGCAGGTAGGGCGTTTGCCTTACACGCAGCCAACATGGCTGATCCAGGTTCGATTCCCAGCATCCCATATGGTCCCCCGAGCACCGCCAGGGGTAATTCCTGAGTGCATGAGCCAGGAGTAAGCCCTGAGCCTTGCTGGGTGTGACTCAAAAAGCAAAAAAAAAAAAAAAAAAATTCTGCTCAAAAGTCCAGAATCCGTTTCCTCCGCGTCCAACGTGAGTTTTCAGACGACTGAGGAGGTTTCTTTTGTTAAGAATCTGTTTCTTCACAATCCTGCAGAATCTAGGCAGCATCTTAGCCCAGGATGCAGTGAACTTTCAGACCCCTGCACCCCGGGCGGGCTCAGACATCTGCCCACCCCCAGTTCTAGATTTTCTCCGCACCTCACCTCACTGCACCAAGATTGAGGGGTCTCGGGGCAGTGGCTAGATTTTGTGGGCGTGTGGGCAGTCGTACCACCAGCAAAGTATCACCCACAGCCTCACGCTGCTGCTGCTTGGCCCTGGGGAGCATGAGGTGACCCCAGGGTTCGAACTCTTACCCGTGGTTCCTGCCAGCTCATGCTGTCACAGAGTAAGCCACAGCAGAGCCCCTCGCTGTCCTGCTCTGGGGCCAGGCTCTTGCCATGGGCGGGTCTTGCAGGACTTCCTGCCACATCCCGCCGTGAGCCCCGCGACCCTTCCATGCCGCCTCTCAGCCCCTTCCAGCCCTTCACAAAGCACTTGACTTGTGTGTCAAGTTTTTCCCTCCCTCACCGCATGGCAGCCTGGGGCCTGACGTAATGCTTCAAGGTGCTGTCCCCCACCCCCAGAAAGGCCGCTGTTTCCAGGGAAGTGCTCACAAAACAAGTGCCACCGCCGCCCTGAGACACTCCCCATCCCCACCCCTACCCACCCACCACCTCTGTTTAGATCAAGCTTTGGTTGCTAAGCACCCGGGCTCCCGTGATAATTTCCCTGGGATTGTGGAAACTGTTAGATTCAAGGTAGACACAGAATGAAAACCTCTTCCAGTGTTTGAGTGACACGGATTGTGTCCTGGTAACACTCACCAACTCTGTCTCAGCACAAACTCACGAGCTCCGCCTTTATCATGACTGAGTAATATTCTGCTGTGTATAAATGCGGTGTGTCTTTATCCATGTCCATCCATGGATGCTGGTTCTCATACCTTGATGTGGATGATTTTGTGATCAACAGGAGAATGTGTATCTCTTAGGGGGAACGAGAAAGACCTTTGGAGCTGGAGAGGGAGCACAGTGTGTCGGGCGTTTGCCGTGCACATGGCCAATTCCTAGCACCCCATCTGCTCCCCCAGGGACCCCCAGGAGTGGCCCTGGCTTCAAGCGAGTTATGGCTTCAAAATAAAAACTCCCATTTTATTTCCAGGAGAATCTGTTTCCCGCTGTTTGCTGAGTGCCCCATGGCCCCTGCTCCCCCCCCTTGCCTGTGGGGCCTCGCCCCGAGAACCCCCAGCAAGGCAGACAGAAACTCCACGTCTCCCGAGTGCTCCCCGGGACCCCGCACCTAGCCCCAGCATTCCAGGGCTCCCCGTTAACTCTCTGGCTTTGCCGTCCCGACAGGATTACATGCAGAACGTCCACGGGAAGGAGATTGACCTGCTGAGGACGACGGTGAAGGTCCCGGGGAAGCGGCCCCCGCGCGCCACGTCGGCCTGCGCGCCCATCTCCAGCCCCAAAACCAACGGGCTGGCCAAGGACATGAGCAGTTTACACATCTCACCCAATTCAGGTGAGTGCCGGGGCCAGCGGGGCGGTCACTGGGGCCCGGTCCCGCCACGATCAGGTCACTGGATTCTGGCCCCGCCACGGTCACTGGGGCCCGAGCCCACCGAGGTCACAAGTGGGGTGTGGCTGCCTTATTGTGGTGGGTGGGGGGGGGGGGGGAGGCCCTTCACACGTGTGTCCGGCTCCCAGCAGGCGCACGTGGCGTCCAGAGCCCGGCCTGATGCTGGCCCTCCCTGGGCGCTATGCAGAGCTGTGCTTTCGGGGCCTTCTGGGAACGGGGTCAGGACAGCTGCGTGTCCTGGAGGAGCACCACAGGGGAGAGGACAAGCCGTGTGGAGCAAGATTGTTGTTTTGATGGGGCTCAGGGGTCCCGGGCCTTGGACCAGCTTGGGGGTGCTCAGGGTCACACCCAGGGGTGGCTGGGGGATGTGTGGTACTGGGGATTGAGCCGGGGTGGGCCACGTGCAAGGCAGGGGCCCTAACCATTGCATAACCCCTCTGGCCCTCAAAGCCTGTTCGCTTCTTCCTGTCTGTCTGTGAGCTGCCTCATCGTTCTCCCTGTAGGCGCGGGACGACCGTAGTCTAGGCACAAGACCCCAGGTGCAGGACCCCGCCTCGTTTGAGGCTTTGTGGGGTGGCAGGTCCGGGGACCCCAGGAGGCCCTTGAACCAGTGCCTGTGGCCTGTGTAAGCTCAGCACCAGGCTTAGCTGTCAGCTCCTGCCAGGCTTGGTCTCCGGGAAAACAGTCTACATACACGTACTCAGACATACACACACATACTGAGACATACACACATACACACACTCACACACAGACACACATACACGCATGCACACACTCACACGTATACACACGCAGACACACATACATGCATACACATACACTCACATACTCAGACATGCACGCATACACGCCCACATACTCAGACATACACACACACGCATGCACACACTCACACACATACACAGACGCACATAACACGCATACACACACATACACGTATACACACACACAGACATACACACATACAGGCCTACACATACAGGCCTACACATACACATACATGCATACACACACACTCACATACTCAGACATGCACGCACATGTGTGTATACACACACATACAGATACACTTATATACACATACAATACATGCATAAATACAGTCATTTGTACACACACGCATACACATACACACACATTCGTGCATGCACTCAGACATACATACACACATATACACACATAACACATGCATATACATGTGCATATATACATATGTGCATTACACTCACACACACACACACACACACACACACGTCTCCACACAGCTGTCTTATGGCAGGAGGGAGCGTCCACGGTGCCCTGGCCCTGCAGGGCTGCAAGGGGCGGGCACGGGATGGTGTGGAGACGCAGGGGCTGATGGCCCAGAGCTGCTGTGTCCGATTGCAGTGACCCGCTCTCTGCCCCGTGGCCAGCTCCTCACTCCGGCAGGGGACAGATTACTTCACCACGCGGCACCTTGTCCTTCGCAGGAGGCGCCTGACCACGTGGGGTGGGCAGAGGAGAAGCTGCCCCCATCGAGGGTCCCGGAAATGTCCCTGGGGCCGAAACACGGGTGCCCGTGACTCCATCGCCGTCGTCTGCTCAGCAGGGGCCGGGGCTGGTGTGTCGGCAGGGCAGGTGCTGGCTGTGCACGCGGCCGGCCACGTGGGGCCCCTGAACGCAGGTGCAGGCCCTGAGCATTGTCCACGGGGACCTCTCAGGGCCAGTGGCTGTACTGACCAGATGCAGACGCCCGTTCTCCCAGCCACGCTGTCCCTGTCCCTGTGAGAGCCGCAATTACTGACATTGTCCTCCAGCAACTCCCGCCCTCGTGGATAGCACGGCCAGCGGGCATGTTCCCTACGGCTAGCTGCACCGAGGCTCAGGCTGTCGGGGTGCTTAGGGCCCTGGAGGCCACGCAGGGCGGCCCCTGAATGCTCATGCCCAGGGAAGTGCCACGTTCGTTCACAGGAAGCTAAGTTGGTACCCACAGGGACAGCATTGCCCGGGTACGGGGGTGGGGTAGGGGCACCGGGGGCCCCGTCCAACCCTGTTTGGACCCTTTCTATCGGGGGAGACACCCTCTTCCTTGCAGCGTGGTGCTTCATGCCAAAGAAGGGTTGTGACCCACCTTGGGAGGGGGGCAGTGGCCTGCAGGCCGCCTTAGCAAGGAGCGTGTCCCTCTAACTCTATGTCCAGTTTGTGCCCCTCGTTAGTGGCAGCTGGTGGCCAGGAGCTCTGGGCACAGGGCCTGGTGGGAGAGCCAGCCCAGCCCGCTGGGGTCCCCGGGGGTGATGGTATTTCACTGCCTCCTCTGAAGCGGGAGATCTGGGGACGGTCGTTTTCCTCGATCCAGGAAAAAGGCTGACATGCATTTTCATCACCGAGGTCAGTGGGTCTCAGCTCGGGGCCATCAGGACCCTGTAGATCCCCAGATAGTCAGAGGGGAGAAACGGGAGACTTGGGGGCCAGCTGGTAGGACGGGAGGGACCCCAGGAAGGAAGTTTGGCTGGGAGGGGCCGGCACTACTGAGACCTGCCGCGGGCAGGTCCTGTCGCTCCCCCCGCTCAGCTCCGCCCCGGCTCTCTCCATCCTTCACGCCCCCCTCCTTGGCTCACTGCACCTCAGTGCTGCCCGGAACGGACTCAGGAGCGAGATCGGCTCCCGAGCTTCGAGGGACTTTCCCCCCACGGACCCAACACGCGAGTGTGTCCAAACCCTTCAGCGGACACTTGGCATCACCTCGGGATTCTGGGAGGGGTTTGCACGAGAGGCCCCATCCCTGACCTGCGCACCCACAGAGCTGGGCAGTGTCCCTCAGTGTCCCGCCGGGCCCCAGTAACAGCATCCCTTGCCTTGGGGGGAGGGGCCACTCCCCCCGTCCCCTGCCCATGCATCCTGCAGCCGGGGCTGACCTAGGTGTCCCCTTGGCATTCCACGTCATTTGCACTGTCGGCTTGTCTTTCTCATTCGTGGACTGAGAGTGTTAGTGGTAGGATAGTTCCACCTTGGTCCCTTTGGCAGGTAGCTGGTTCGTATTTTCAATTTTGTGGTCTTGGGGTTTAGGGTTAACCACAGGGGTTGGCGGCCGTGGTCCAGCCTCCGGCGCGCTGCTGGGGTGACCCCAGCTGACCCCCCACCCAGCTCCGCAGGCCCACACACTGACCCACCAGGCCGGGAAGCCGGGACTGACCTCTGGGGCCAGTACTTGTCGGGGGAACCCCCAGAAAAGCAAGAGAAAACCCCCCACACAGATTATGGTCCTATTTCTTACATGGAGTGGTTTCTACCTTTCACTCAGTAAAACGCAGCTCTTCTTTTTCTGAGGGTTTTGTTTTAGAAAACCTTGAATAGTTTTGGGAATAGACCCGAGTTCATGTGTACGTGTCTGTCTGTCTGTCTCTCTCTCTCTCTCCTCCCCTTCACCCCCTCCCAATTGACACCAGCTGTTTGGTTCGACTTTATGCCATAGGAAATCTGGCTACTTTTTCGATCCACGGACCCCTCACCGTCTCTGTGGGGGTCTCTCTGTCACCTCTGGGCGCCTCTTCATGGCCCCGTGCACTCAGTGACTCGTGTCCGTGGCGTCTGGGGTCGGTGCCCAGCCGTGCCACCTTCATGCTCGTCCCCTAGCGCCAGCCCCCGTCAGGTGACTCCTGTCCATTCTCTCTCAGCCAGTCTCCCCTGGGTGCTCTCACACCCACCTGTTTCCCCAAGCCTTGAGGCCCTGAACCACATCTTTAGAGACTCACCCCTGTGCCTTTTTTTTTTCTTTTTGGGTCACACCCAGCGATGCACAGGGGTCACTCCTGGCTCTGTGCTCAGGAGTTACCCCTGGCGGTGCTCGGGGGACCATATGGGATGCTGGGAATCGAACCCGGGTCGGATGCATGCAAGGCAAACGCCCTACCCGCTGTGCTATCGCTCCAGCCCCACCCCTGTGCCTTTAGCCAGCGTCACGTCACCAGTCCTGTGTGGGGAAGCATCAGCCTCAGGCCATGTCCTTTTGCTCCTGGGGGCCGCACCCGAGGACCCTCAGGAGTTCTTTCTGGCTCTGTGCTCAGGGATCACCCCGGGGGCTCAGAGGACCCCACGGGGCGCTGGAGCCAGGTCTGTGCACAGCTCCTGGGCGCTCTTTCTGTCCCCGGCCTTAACCGTCGGGTTTCTTGCAGGACCCCCGCCGCCCAGTGGTGTCCGTGCGCTTTCTGCCCTCATTTCTTCCTTTGCCTATTCTGTGGGGACCCCCTGCATGAGCAGCTGAGTTGGGCGCTGAGCCCCCCACACCGGTCCTGAGACCCCACCTGCCCACAGCCCCCACCAAGTCCCCGTCTGCTCCAGGACTACGGCGAAGCACACTTCACCACCCCCCCAGGGTCAGACCCCCGAGTGCCGGACCCCTTGGCCTGGGGGGAGAGGGCCAGACAGGCCCCAACCCCATCAGGAAGGCCTGAGCTCAGCCTCGGGAGCCCCGCATGTAGCCAAGACCCCGTGGCAAAGCCTGGGCAAGAGCTCGCAGGGAGGTAGACTGAGTCAGGACCGTGCAGGGGGCACCCGAGAAAGCCCCAGGAGGAACATGCAGGGGAGGGACACCACGGGCGTCTCCCACCGCCTGGCCGCAGGGATGAGGAGGGAGGGGAGGCGTGATCCTCCCCCAGCGCTGGGAGCAGCCCGGGAAGAGCCAGGCGGGAGGCCCAGGACCCCGACGCCTGAGGGGGTGGGTCTCCCCCTGAGGACACTGGGGCTGCCCCTCGGAGCTGCATGGGCCAGGCTGTTCCCTCTCTAGCGGGAAGGCCGCAGGAAGGGAAAGCCATGTCCAGTGACATCGAGGACAGTGTGTCCCTCTCAGTGGCATCGGCTCTGCCCCCAGGAATGTGGCTCCAGCAGGTAGAATCCTTCCCGACACTCGCCCCGTCGGACCGGCCGCAGGGTCCTGGGGCAGGACATGTTGTTAGTTCTCGGGT